CTCACTAGGCCTGACAAAAAAAAAAAAAAAAAAAAAAAAAAAAAACTGACAAGTTCCACAAGCCCACATCTTTACCCTTTGATGCAGACAGTGGTTAAATTGCTCGTGTGGTGGAAACGCCGTTCGGTAAGCTTTAAAATAGACAAGGATATTATAATGACTGGATGCTTAATGTACCATATAAATACACCCTTTATTTTTCTCACTCTCTTTTTTTGGTTATTTCTGCTTTGGTAGCCAAAACTTACAACATCCAAAAGCTGTCTATAATTAACAAAAATGCTTCTGTTTATGCCCTTAAATGGTCTTGATGAGAACCATTGTGAATGTTTGAAGCAACGTGTCAGACTACATGGGCTGTTTTCGAGGGGGATGTGTGAATGCGCTGCAGTGCATTGTGGGATGCCTTCAGTGGGTGGGGCTATGGCAATGCGGGTCGGGCCTGTAGCAGGTATGATTCATCAGGGCACGTAATTGACCCTGTGGGATGTGTGATGGAGGAGGAGACCATTGTGCGCTCATCGCTTCCTTTGTCTGCTTCCGTTCGGCGTGTGTTTTATGGTTTCCCTGTTTTAGCTTACTTTCTATTGGTATATTTTTTCTCTCTTGATCTTTCTGTCTGTTTACAGTAACACAGCACACACACACACACTCATAGAGCACCATATGCTCTCTGCACCATTTGACTTTAATGATGGTCAGGCTGTCTGAACATTTGCAGAAATATACAGTCATAAAAACACACTATGATTATTACTCTGTATAATGAATTAATATTAAATGGGGACATTTAATATCCAACTAAATTATTGATCAGTCTGCATTGACACCATTAGATTGAACTGAGCAGGGCGATGACCTCACTAGCCATGTTTCCATCCACTTGTCAATCGAATTATCTGAAATTCGGTTAAAAAACTCATGCGGATAAAGCTGGTGAAAGTGTGTTTCCATACAACGGCTTTAAAGCGAATAAAAACCTGCACGTAATGACGTCACATGCTGTTTTGCGATCAAATTGGTATATCGAATTGATTTGAGATTTGACATTTTAAGGTGTTTCCATTTATTTTCGCACTGAATCGAACAACATTCAAGCAAACTTTTGCGAACAAAGTTTTGTTAGACAAAACGGATCGCGCCATCTACCAAAAAATGATCAATATTTCACAAGTTGAAGGCTAATAATGCTTATGTGCCAGCTGATAGCGACATATGAATGGGATAATGTATGCGAGGCGGTTGTTGGTTGTATTCGCTATAACAACCGCCTCGCTATATATTATCCTGCTTATAGCCTACATATAAATCAACCAAATAAATCAATAAATCAATAATTTGACACAAAATATTGACTTTAAAACGAGTTTATTGATTTAAAAACGAGTTGCTTCTGCTAAAGAAAATAGTCTGTTCCGTCTCTGAACTGCGTCCATGGCAACGGTGTGTTATACTAGAAGCGCCGCAGTCTGTTAACTAGAAATAACAGACCACATTCTACATTACAATTCGACCAAGCCACGTAAAAACAAGCAAAACTAACCTAAGAAAACAGCGACGCTATAAACATTGCTATGATGATGACGATGCACGTATGCCCGACGACAGCGGAGGTGACTGTGGTTTGGGAACGACAGCGCTCCATCAGTTCTGGGAGATCGTGGTTCACGGAAACCCTTTGGTTGAAGCATCTTTTTGCTTTGTCCCCTTACATCTGTCTTTGTTGACATCCGCCATGTGTGCGCAAACAGGCCGGAAATCAACTCGTCTTCTGACGTGTTGCAACCATAAAAGGGCATAAAACTTAATCGCAATTCATTATTTATTCGGCAAATAACGTTTCCATCAGCTTTTATCGCATTAGCCGTATATCGATCAAGAGAAAATCCGATGAGACCGAACGTATTTCATTTGAGTCGATTTTCATGAAATTTCATCGAATTTTACTGTTTCCATAAGGCATTTGTCATTCGATATCACTCAATTCGGATAAAAACGTGTCGATGGAAACATGGCTACTGTAAAAATTGGATAATATGATAATGTGTTATCATAACATTTTTTCTTTTGTCAAATCAACTTAATTTATTTAGTTCAGATAACTTATTATTGTGAGTTTCTGATGATTAAATCAATCTCCTTCATTGTATTAACTCACTTTTTCCAGTTCAAACAACTTAAAATTTTAAGGCAACCAGGTTACTTATTTTTTTAAGTTAAACCAACAATATTTTTTTACAGTGAACTAAATTAATTACTTTTTTTTCCAATAGAAAGAAACCACTACACTCTCTGAAGCTGGACTGTGATGCTTTTTTCTCCTAGAAACAATCTTTGTTGCATTGTTTTCCTGTTATCTCTGTAAAGCTGCTTTGATAAATCTGTATAGTAAAAAGCGCTATATAAATAAAGGTGACTTGACTAATATAGTGGATAATATATTCCACAATGTTAATTATTTATATGTATATAAAATATGAATGTCAATATGCATTAGGATTATTAATAGTATAAACATTAAATAATACAGTTTAGTTATGTACAAGGGGGGAAATATGACAACACAAAATATATGATTACATTTTTATATGTACAGAAAAAAAAAAGATGATGTTTGCCCATGCATAACTCTACTCTGCTATGACGCTGGGTGGTTTTTACAGTGTGGTTGCTAGAGTGGTTTTAGGGTCCTGCAAAGATGTTGCTTACAAGACCAAGTCAAAAGAGTCAACCCACAAGTCTCAATGATATCTTGATCTCTAGTTACATCTCAGGTTAAGCCTGTGAGGTGTTTTCCACCAGTGGTTTCAGTGAAAATCGGAAGTCTGGCTGCTTAAAATTTTTTTTCATGATTTGTAATCACAACATTTTTTCTTTTGTCAAACCAACTTAAATAATGTATGTAGTTCAGATAACATAATATTTAGAGTTTCAGGTGATTAAATCAATCGCCTTCATTGTATTAACTCAATTTTTCCATTTCAATGAACTTCAGATTTTATGGCAACCAGGTTGCTTCATTTTTTAAGTTAAACCAACAATATTTTTTTACAGTGTAAACAACTCCCAACAATTATGATAGATCTTAAATTTGTGTGTGTAACATAGCTAAATGTGTATAGTGGTTCACTTAAGTGTTTTATAAAAATTTAATATTTAATAAATATTTAACACTTGTTATTCTAAAGGTGTCAAATATAGTAATTATTCTGTGTTTCCACGCCGAGTTTGAACAATGCTTATAAGGCTAAACATGTGTCGAGTATAGCATCCAGAGGAGGGAGCCAGCGGACAGAACAAAGCCACATCATTCATTAAACAGTCATTACAAACAGTCCTAGTCATCATATCATATCGCTTGATATTAATTTGTACAGCTGCGGAACAGCACGAGTGCCATTCTACTGTTCTCCGTTGCTCTCCGAAACAAACCCAATCTCCTGTACAACCATGACATTTGTATGGGAATACTTTGACTTGTTTTGTTGTGAGATGCTAATATAAAGAGGCAAGCAACTGCATGACTCACTAGTGGGAATGCAGACCTAATTTCTGTTGTGTTTGTGCATGCGTCGCACAAGCTATAAATAAACAAATCAACCATCAGAACTTGATTTTCGTGTCCCTGCGTTTATGTTTTCAATCTCCTCGGCGAGCTGCGAGGTGCCAGTCTGGGGTCTTGACAGCGACTCAGACGTAGATGTCGTTCGGTGGGCAGCCCATCTAGATGAAGATTAATATCACAGGCAACAAGCGGGTCGGGGCAGAGATGCACAAGCAGGATTTGCACAGAGAAAAAAAGGCAACAAGAATTGAAAAAAAAGAGAAAAAGAATCGACTGCTAACCCACAACAAACACCCAGAACATTGATTGTAGCCAAGCGGAGAATAAATCATGGCATGGAAGATCAGTTGAGTGAATGCAGAAACATCTATGCACATATTTACATAATATAGGCTATTTCCATATTTGCTCGGAAATGGAAAGGTACCGGAGGTAAAGTCGCACGGGCTACGCACCCTTTCAGATGTACTGCCACCCAGACAGGCCTGGGACATACAAATAATTGGGCATTTCCAGACATATTCAGGTGTGAGTGTATATTTGTCCATTTAAATCATTAAAGCAGTCATTTGGACTACAGTGCTACAGAGTCAGTGGAATTTTCTTTCAGATTATTATTGGCTAAAATAATGAATCATCTGAGCTTTTATTGGATATATAGTTGTTTTAGAGGAAAGGCCTTTTCTTGTACATTTCAATGAGTGACATATGTAATAAACCAACGCCATGTCACGACCAATTCGCATGAGTTGAGTAGGAGTTGGCTGTTGGCTACTTCACGAATTCGTCCGATTTGTCTAAACACAAGTGATTGGCAGGTTTAGGGGCGGGGTCAGGGGTAGGTAATTCGTACGAATTCATACGAATCGGACAAATATGTCCTACGATTTAACGAGTGAGGTCGTATGAATTGGTACGAATTTGCCACGTAAAATACGTAATTGCTGTGACCATACTTTTCACACAACTTTCCTTTTTGAGTTTCAGCTTAAAATGTATTTGTGTAGGAACAATATGGCTAAAGCTGAATTATCTCTGAAGTTTCAAAATATCATATTTAGAGGGATTGTATAAGATTTGCATATCTCTGTGTTTGAGTAATGCAGAGTTGGCTTAATTGGCATTTATTTTCCTGTATCTTTGGAAGGGATTTCATATATATGTTTTTTTTTCTTCTTATTAAGGAATATACTTAACAATTCTATCATAAGAAGATAGATACATGATAGATACATATCGTCCATTTCCTTGAGGCGCAAGTTAAAAAATGTATGGTCATGTCTAGGACATGTCAGAGCCTCCGTGACTTTGTTTGCAAGTGTGTATTAGTGAGTGACACACACGGCATACACAACAAATCCTTAAGGTCACATCAATAAAGTGTTAACATCCTCACACACCTATAGAAGACGCATCGCCTACACCGCAAACTCACCGCAGTACACGATCAGAAGCGCCGTCAACAGCAGCACAGCCCAGAAAGTTGTCGACATCCTCGGCCAGTTAATCGCATCCTTACGCTTAATCGATCTGACCGCAGGAGCCATGGAAAACGCGTGTCGTGAAATCGGCGGTAAATTCAGCGTTACAAACCCTCCCGTCCTCTGAGGAAACGTCTCTCTCCACGAGTGATTCTTAAAAAAGACATTTTGAAAACGGACAGCTCATTTCCAAAAGCACCTTCGGCACTCTTTAAGTCCAGGAAAATCGGAAAATTAAGTCTCTAGTTGACGCGCGATCGATTCAGTGTTCGGTATCCCGGGAAACGGATAATCCAAATCAGGCGCGTGAATTCAGATTTTCTCATAAATATTAAAACTGTCGACGCCACGTCAAACCTCCGTGTAGAGAAACGAAAACATACACACGATAAAGATTAAACGATGTCGCAACGCCGGTGAGGAAACTAGCGAAAGAACTGCTCAGTTGGTCTGTGAGGACGTGCTTGATTCCTCTCAGACTCCCAGAGAAAAGATCCCATCGCAAAACCGTCTGGATTTGCCAAATATTCTCTTAAGAGGGAATCGAAGTCTCCATCGATAGAGGATGAGGAACATAAAGAGCTGTGAGCAGATGAAATGGAAAGATCTAGAGAGATCTTAAGCTGCGCAGACCGATACATGAACTGAAACTTCGTGTCGCCTCAACTTTTACTTGCACTGCATGCGAGCGACGACGCGAAAAAAAAAAAAACTAGCACTCTCCTGCTATAATTAAGGAACCGGTTTGAGCGTGCAGTGCAGACGGCTCCCTTGATTACAACTGAATCTTCTACTTTTAAAGCGTCGCGTCAAGTTGAAGTCTAGACTTTTTAAATTTGGCATCCAGATCATTTTACCCTTTTCTTTTCTGTAGCTATGATTTGTTATTCACCTGTCTCATCTGCTGCATTTACTCGTGACGTGCGGCTAACAGGTTGTGTGTGTGTGTGTGTGTGTGTGTGTGTGTGCAGTTACATTTCTGAAGAAACAGTCAAGCTTAGAGCAGACACTCAGAGCAGAGGACAGGTCAAAGCTTCAAAGGAGCATTTCAGCACCACAGGCTGCGGACAGCTCCCGCTCGAACTAGCGTCATTAAAACGTGATAATATAGGAATCTCAGTCTCTTGCAATGCTGTAAAAAAAAGAAAATATGTTATTTTTACAATATGGTGCTATGTTTACCTGATCTAACACTTGTTCTAATTATTGTGACACCAATAAATCACCTTATTTGTATATCAGGTTGAATTTTTGTTGTTGCATTATTTTCCTGTTTTGTTGCATTATTCATTATTTTCCTGTTATCACAAAGTTGCTTTGAAACAATCATAAAAAGCACTAATGCAAATGCTAAATTAATAAAAACTGTTAATTTAGACGTTATCACATGAAGCTCAATTTAAGGTGCCAAAAAAAATCACTAGTGTTTAGTTACATTTGAAGTGTCACTCTTAAATCATATATATATATGAAGAGTTCAGATGCAAAAGCCTCTAAATGCCAATTGAAATTTTCTTCTAGAATGATCATTTTTATCAAGCTTGTATATTTAAGTTCAGTGATTTCACTTAAATGGCAATGATAATTACCTATTAATTGTTATTTAAGTGAAATTACTGAACTTAAATATACAAGTTTGATAAAAATCATGAGTAAAGAAGAAAATTTCAAATGGCATTTAGAGGCTTTTGCATCTGAGCTCTTCATATATGTATATATACGTATATATGGTGGTAACCTTAAAGAGGTATTTCTGCCTGATTTAAACCATACCAATTAGTTTTGTGGTAACACTTTACAATAAGGTTCAGTAGTTAATATTAGTTTAGAGACTAAGACAGCATTATATTAATTAATACAGTATTAAAATCAAAAGTTGTATTTGTTAACATTAGTCAATGCACAGCCAACTAATAGCATGAACAAACAAAGATTAATCAATACTGTAAGACATGTATTGCTCGGTTAGTTCATGTTAGTTAATACATTAACGGATGTCAACAAATGAGACCATATTGTAAAGTGTAACCAGTTGGGACAACTTAAATTTCTTAAGGTTGAAATGGATTGGGAACCATTGTACAAAAATAGGATAGGATGGCACATTATTAATCTATTTTGGGAAACTGACAAAACATCAAAATTAGGTATTTTAATAGTGTCACAAAATTAAAATATTGTACAGATAAGGTGTGTGTGTGTGTGTGTTTGTGTGCCAACTGACGCTGTCCTTTAGCGTCAGTTAGATGACGCGGTAGGATCGCGTCATGTAAGTGACGCTAAAGGGCGCCTAAAACGTCAAATATTGAAGCATGGTCAAAGGTGAGAATGCGTTGTAATATGACCATGTTCTAATAGGGATCACAGTAGTGGGAGCTCTCCACATTGTGTGGTGCTGAAAATCTCTGAAAGCTTATACCTGTAAGTTCTTCTATGCTCATATAATCATGTGTGTGTGTGTGCATGTGTGACATCATAATGATCTCTTATGAAAATTCCACAGAATGATAAAATAAGAAATAACAAACTTTTATTAGATACAAATCGCATATATTGAAAAACCTGTCTGATCCTCATTGGTGCAGCTGTTCACAAAAATCGCATTAACAATTCTAATACATACAGCATTGGGCGCTCTAAACGGAACATATAATCAGTATCAATGGAACATGAAGGTTAAATGAAACAATTGCTCTCCTTTGTATTTAACATATAAATAATGCTAAGAGTGCCCACTGAAACTCTCTCAAAGAAATGCACTGCAGAAGAATAATTTCCTAGTGGAGGCGTGACCTGAATTTACAATTAAATTGTCATAGATCCATTGCTTATTTCCCATTAGGCAATGGCACACTATGCAGGTGCTTTTAGGTGTTTCACCCTTCCCCATTCTCTTCAAAGTGTGAGTTTCCATTCCGCTATGTCCCTTTCAGGTGTCTGCACCGCTCTGGCTCTCTGTGGTTGTGCTGTGCACTGCTTAGCAGGAACGCCTCTTTATGTAGTCGCTTGTGATCGACTGAGCGCTGACCTTTCACATCACTCTTCTTTTGATCTTTCCACACTCTACTTCCCCTGTATCTGAATCGAGATTTGTCTTTGAACTCCAGCAGGGAGCCTTTCCTCGTATTTTTTTCTTTTTCTTTTATTATCGGTAATTTTCCAAATCACAAAGACATAAAGCTAGATTACTGTGAGCAAAGCTGAGATCGCAGTAAGGAATTTTGGACATATTGTCATGCACAGTGTGCAACGAAATTATTGTTCACCACGAAAAAAAAAAAAATCGTACTATTTAATCACTTTCATATTATTCCAAACCCTTGATTTTCTTTGTGAACTAGAACATTAAAATGAGACGTTTAGCAGAAAATTCACCCTGCAATTTTTCATAAAAGTAAAAACTGACAAAGGCTCCATGGGACAGTGATACTTTTATGACTAATATTACTTTTTGTATTACAGAGAACAAAAAATGCAGGAACAATGCACGTTCACAATGCTTGACTTTTCATTTCCGGAAAAAAAAAAAAAACTCTTTAATTAAAACAGAAGAATCCTCTCTGCATCTTAAATCATAACTTTCTGATGAATAATGAGATGTAATGAATCATAGCTCAATTTATACTTATTTATAAGTAAGTAATGTTATTCTATAAATATGTTTATAAAGACTCATACTGCATTTTATTATTAGAACAGTTATTTTATTATATAATTACTTGTTTGTGCATACTCATAATTCATTATACACTGATTTAAGTATTAATTAGTCAGTCTTATAAAGTATTAATAAAGATGCAACCTGCATTGCTTTAATGCAGGTTGTAATTATTCAGTAGTTACAATGGTGTTTAGTAATGCAATTTTTTTAAATATATTGTTATTAATAGCCATGCTGTGTTCTTCTAAATACTTTATTGTGAGTGATAATCGAGTTTCTAACCTCTATAAATGCATAACTGATGGCTTTAAGTAAAGTGAAAACATAAGATGCAATCTTATTAAGGCAAATATTAAGAAATCATGAAGATGTGTTCATTATACATTTTAAGTTTAACATTTAATTTAATTATACATTTTAATCTTTTTTTTTAATGTTAAATACTAGCAAAACTGCAACAATATTTTTGAAAGTATAATTCCAAACTGCTATAAGCTGCATGCATAAAGCTGAGGAGATATAGATTTTAACAAACCAAAATTACCATTCATGACTTCTCAACATTAGCCATTAAAGACATATTTGATAACTAATTGGTACAGCAAACAAGTTTATAATTTAATCATTTATAAATCAGTGTATAATAGATAAAAAGCAAATGCATGACTTATATGTAATTATAAAAATAATATAAACGATAACTGTTCTTATAATGTAGTATAGGTCTTGATGAGTCTTTATAAATATATTTATAGAATATTAATAAATAAGTATAAATGGGGCTATAATAAGCATAGAAAATGTTACCTTCATAGCAACACAATTCTGCTCACCTTACACTAAAGTAATATATATATATATATATATATATATATATATATTACTTTAGTGTAAGGTAATTTCTCAGGAAATACTCAGGCTGAGTATTTCATATATATATATATATATATATATATATAAGGATTTTACCCTGAACGTGCTGAAAGCTCATTAAGCGTTGGCACCTTATAACATCTCTATGTGATAGATGTGCGGTCTGTGATATTTGATTTGTTAATAATATGTTTTATCTTTTTTTCTCCCCTTTTAAACAGGTTTTAGCAGTGCTATATAAATAGCAAGACAAGACAAGACAAGACAAGACAAGGAAGTATATGTTTTAGGGTCTGTACCCATCCCTAAACTAACCCAACCTTGTGCGACATGTTTGCATTGTGAAGAAGAAGGAATTGCATGTCACAGTTAAGTTTAAAGAATTTAAGGTTAAAACTTAAGGTTAAAAATAAAAATAAAAAATGTGTTTTTTTTTTCATGTCAACTTTGTTTAAAAAGAATGCAATAGCAAATATTGATGTTTACGTGTGTGTAACTGAAAGAAAAAAATAAAACTTGCTTAATTCACTAAAAAAATGAATGGCTTCTTTTAAAATCAAACATTTCTATTCTTGATGAATCTTTTTTATGATCTAATCAAATCCTGAAGAACAGTCCTCATTTTTAAAATGTCATGTGTGTTACCATGATGGTGTAGTGTTTGTGTGAATGACACTGTGCAGCTTTTGTTATATTAATATTAACTCTCCTGCGGTAAAGCTGCTTGTGTTGAGCTTTGATTCATCGTGTGACTCTCATAATCACTGTGATTGGTGGTTGTCAGTGTATTACAATGGTGAAAAACAGAAATGGGTACTTTAAAAGGTTGGTAAATTAACATTAACATCACCCTTTTTTACTGTAAATTTAAGTTAATTCAAATGCCAGTTGCTTCAATGCATTTAGGGGTGTGCATTTGGAGATCTTCAATCGCCAAACTCCAAACTGAATGTCAGAATGGGAAAGAAAGGAATTTAAGCAATTTTGAGCGTGGCATCGTTGTTGGTGCCAGACGGGCCAGGCTGAGTATTTCACAATCTGCTCAGTTTCTGGGATTTTCTCGCACAACCATTTCTAGGGTTTACAAAGAATGGTGGGAAAAAGGAAAAAAGTCCAGTATGTGTCAGTCCTGTGGGCAAAAATGCCTTGTTGATGCTA